ATGAAAAATCAAAACCGAAGTATTTCTGGTTTGGAATTGCTACCATTGTTCAAAAAAGCAGGAAACATTCTCATTACCTCTGACCAATAAAGATAATCATCAGCTGCAAACAAAGAGAAAAATAAAATGCCTCCAGCCTATGTACGATCTCCCAGCCCAGATGTCTGTCTCTGAGAGCTGTGTCACTGGGTGGCCTCAGGAAGGTCCTGCTGTGCCCCATGACACACGGGGGAAAGGAAAGTGATGCCCCCCAAGCCTCTTTATGTCCTTTATCACTAGACCTTGCTCTGTAATCCATGCATGAATATAAACTGTTAAATTGGCATGGTTTCTGCCTGCCCCGCTCAGCTTGAAACCAATTGTGCTGTACCCTGACACCCCCTACCTGTCAGCCAATGGGTCCAGAGCAGCTGCACCAGGAGTGACTAAACAGCTGTCACTGGTTCATGGCTCTCTCTGCTCCACTGACAGACCTGGATCCACTGCAAAGGACCTCTTAGAAGTGTGTGACCCCCAGAAGCTTCTCCTGTGGGTGGGCTCACACAGAGTCCGCTCTGGCCGTGCCCCACTGTGCGGTCTCGTGCCTTCTGTAGTGTCCACAGCAGAACCCAAACGGTCAAATTTCATATCCTGGCAGTGAAATTCACTGCCTGTGTAACCTTGGGTGAGATGCTGAACTTCTCCGTATCTCAGTTTCCTTATTGGTAAAATGGGCAGAGTGCTATCTGTTTCATAGGGTTGTTGGGAGGACTGAGTGAATTAATATCGCACATGCTCTGAACGGTGCCCGGCACAGAGTCAGCACTCCCTGCCTGTTATCTGTTGTTTTTATTACTGGCCAATGCCTCCGCTCCACTTTTGAGCAGCCACTTGTTGTCTGCCCATAGGTTCCTAGCAGCACGTGAGAGAAATCTTCATTCTAAATATGGATGAAAAAGACTGAATAAAATCCCGGGCGATGTTTCACAGACTTTAGTTTATCCCAGAAAGCTGCTTGGGTGAAGTTCTTAATGTCCAAGACTAGACCTCATCTCTCAGAGAGCCGGCTGGAGTCGGATCGCAGCCCTCAGGCTCTCAGGAGCTGTGAGTGGCTCTCACCCCCCAGTAGCTTTCAAACCGGGGAGTTTTAAAGCAAGATGCCCAGGCTATCCCCCAAACCAATTAGATCAGGATCCCTCAGGTGGGACCCAGGCATGTGTTCCTTTTGAAGCTCCCAGGTGAGTCCAGGGTGCAGCCCAGGCTGAGAAGCACTGCTTGCACCTAAACCAAATGTCACAACTGTAACAGATCACAGGGGGCAGCCAATATGTGGTCCTGTGTAAGGACGAAAGCAAATGTTAATAAGCTGGTAACATTGGGGACAAACACGACTCAGGAAGGGGGGCCTTAAGATGTCAAAGCTCCATGGTAACCTTTCATTTTTCGGAAAGACGCTTGGTTTGGGGGATCCCCGCATAGTACTGCTTGTGTTTTTGTAATTTCCAGTTCCTTCCTGCTTGAAAAAATCCTGTCCCACCCTCAATGAGAACTCCACGGGGACTCCAATACAGAGACGGACAAAGGCCTGTCAGAGCTTCAGACCTGTGGCCCGGCCCGGAGTCACGGAGTCACTCAGTGTCTCACTGAGGAGACTGAGCAGCCCCACCTCCAGCACGCTTGGACGGCAGGTGGGAGGTGTGCTGTGGAGCACAGCGCAGGAGGCTACCGAGAGTCTCTGAAGAGGAGGGGCACCCTCTGAAGAGGCCATTAGGGAGGAATGGAGGTGTGTGTATCCTTTGGAAAGGCCATTAACCCCACTGTTCTTCTGTTTCTTCAAATGTGCTTAACCTTTAGGGTCACTGTGAAGATTAAATGCGTTAGTGTAGTGCTTTAAAGCAGAGAGTGCTTGGCACGGAGAAAACCCTTACAGAGTGAGCGGTGCTTAGTGTTATTATCATCAGTATAATTGTTAAGCAGGTTTTTGGTCTATTGATACATATATATATATATATATATATATATATTAAGATTTTATTCATTTATTTTTTAGAGAGGGAAGGGAGGGAGAAAGAGAGAGAGAGAGAGAAACATCAATGTGCAGTTGCTGGGGGCCATGGCCTGCAACCCAGGCATGTGCCCTGAAGGGAATTGACCTGCGACACTTTGGTTCGCAGCCCGGGCTCAATCCACTGAGCTACACCAGCCAGGGCTGAAACAAATATATTTTTTTAAAGGAAAAATATTTAGTAGTTAAAAAATAGTAGAGCAGGGTCACAAATACAGCTGACTCTTGAACTGCAAGTGTGGGGCTAAGGGTGCCAACGTGCCCCACCTCACAGTCAAAAATCCGGACATAATTTAAGTCAGCCCTGTGAGTGCTGGGTTCCCAACCTCACATCCAAAATACAGTTGACCCTTGAACAAAGGTCTGATAAGGATGCTCTGCTTTGCTGCCCCGAAGACTCAGATCCCAGAGCCGACCTGATTAGCCTCTGCTCCATGGGGCACTCGGGTGCTCCAGGCCTTGGTACAGAGTGGCCCTCCTGGTCAGGGACGGCCCACGGGCAGGGGAAACCCTCAGGCCCATCGTCCCTAAATGGAAAATCCCTTGGAAATGAATATAGCTATTAACACAATTTCATATAGGAAAAGAGGTCAGTGTAAGAATCCACTAACTTGCACAAGGCTCCTTGATGAGATGCCCCTGAGCTGGGATACAAATTCCCGTTGCCATTTTCTTAGTCACTACGTTATACCACCTCCTTAACTCAAGGCTGTGAGTCTCAGTCTGTTTTCTGTAAGACCAGAACTGTCCATGGTTCCCTGCTCAGTTACGGGGGAGATTCCATGGCATAATGTGCACCACAGCCTGGCACACAGGGAGCCTGCGGGAAAGAATGGGTGTTCAGCAAGCGCTGGTTCTTCTACCCCACTCTCAGAGTCCCATTTCGGGCAGTCAGCTCGCACCCAGCGATGACTTGCATTTTAAAGGACTTTCAGTGATTCGATTAGATCCACTCTCTGGTCCTGTTTTGTTGCTGTTGGAGTTGCTCTTCCCCCAACCCCCACCCAAAAACATGCTCATTGATTTTAGAGAGAGGGGAAAGGAGGGAGAGAAATATCGATGTGAAAGAAACATCAATCGGTTGCCTCTTGCAAGAGATGCACCCAGACCAGGGCGGAACCCACAACCTAGGCATGTGCCCTGACTGGGAATCAAACTTGTGACCTTTTGGTTTATGGGACACCCCTTCAACCAACTGAGCCACATGGGCCAGGGCTGGATGTTGCTCTTAATGGTGGCCTGGAAGGGTCCTCGGAGGATGAAAGGACGGGAGGAAGCAGGGAGACAGCCCAGCGCCTGCCTTGTGACGGACACACCTGGTGACCGCTGTTTCCCCGCCTCCCCTCTGCCCCAGTGGCCGTGGCAAGGTGGGGGCGATTCTGTCCTGATTTAACTAAAATAAGAGACTTAGGAAGATTACCTTCCACAGCAACCAAAAATGAGAGACTGTTGAAAGAACTTGGGATGCTTAGCCCAGAGAACAAAGGGTTCATGCGAACCCAGCTAACTGGGTGCTGGCACCTATTTCAAATCAAGGGGTCTCGGGGATCAAGAGAGACCCAAGCCACTTCCATTGAATGAGGTTTCTGGTGTATGAATGAAAATAAAAGTGTTTTTTATAAGGAAAAATATTTACTATTTAAAAAATACTGCCCTGGCTGGTGTGACTCAGTAGATTGAGTGGCTAACCTGGGAATCAAAAGGTTGCCGGTTCGATTCCTGGTCAGGGCGCACGCCTAGTTGCCAGTCAGGTCCCCACTTGGGAGTGTGTAAGAGGCAACTGATTGATGTGTCTCTCGCACACTGTCTGTCCCCCTCTCCTTCTCTCTTCTTTCCCCTCTCTCTAAAAATAAATACATAAATCTGTAAAGAAATACTAGAGCAGGGTTACAAATACAGTTGACTCTTGAACAGCAAGCGTGGGGTTTGGGGTGCCAACTCACCCCACCTCACAACTGAAAATCCAGGTATAATGTAAGTCAGCGCTCTGAGTACTGGGGTTCCCAACCTCACATCCAAAGCACAGCTGACCCTTGAACAAGGAGGGTTTGAATTGCATTGGTCCACTTCTATGAGGATTTTAAAAGTCCTTAAGTATTGCATTTAACAAATGTTAACACAGAATACTATGGTAATCACAGAATACTTACTAGATATGTGTATTTTTTAAACAAAATCTTAATTCATATTGCACTGCAGGCAGTGTTGGCAGGTAACAGAAGACAAACTTTTTTCAACCCCCTCAAGGTACTTAAAGACCAAGTCAACACTTGTCGTTTGAGGGTGGGTCTCAATGTGAGCGCTGTCTCCGTCTCTGACAGTAGATCCACCCAAGGGAGAGGGGACATTCTACAAGCCCCAGAGGGCAGAGCCGGGCCCTGGCACGCACCCTTGGAGAAGGCCGCTTTCTCCTCCGCTGTGCACCTCAGACCGCTTCACTCCTGCAAAGAGTCCGACTCTGAGATTTTGGGGCAGAATGGAAAGTAGTAAATTATTACTCTTTTAGCATATATTTAGGGTATCTATGCAGCTGGAGTAATGATTTTTAACTCGTGTGGGTTCAAGGAGCCCTCTGAAAATCTGATAAAAAAAAACCCTGGGCCTTCTTTCCAGAAGAATTCTATCTCCCTCCCCACTTGCCCACGCACAGTGCCCCCCCGCCCCCCCCCCACGCCCTCGGAGTCGCCAGACTCCAGGGGTGAAGCCCCCTGGCGGGAGGAACTCTTCGGCACTCCCTGCCTGGCACGTGGGAGCCCTGCCCCAGTGCAGGCTGCCTGCGAGGTGAGGCAGTGAGGGGTACGGTGCTCAGCTCCTGGCCACAGATAAAGCTCCACCCTCCGCTGGTCCAGGGACCCCAGCGGCCCGGCTCGGGGCGGGGCGGGGGCGTGGACCCGGGGGAGGCACAGCCCAGCCCCGGGCCCCACCTGCGGCCGTCGGGGGCGAGGGGGAAGAGGGAGCAGGGCCCCGCCCGTTACGGCGTGGCCAACCCGGGGCGTCCACCGCTCCAGGGCTCAGAGTTAGGACGCGGCACGCCGCAGGTCGTGCTCCTGGGCCACAACCCCAACTGGAGTTGCGCGGACGCGCGGACCGCGCCTCCGCCGCCGCCACGCGAGCCATGAAAACGCACTTCTGTATCCCGGTGTCCCAGCAGCGGCCAGACGCGCTGGGGGGCCGCTACACGGTGCGCCAGGGCCGGGGCATCCACCGGGCAGGGAGGAGGCGGCACCACGGCGGGGCCTCACCTGCTCGCTGGGCTAATCCGAGACCGGACCTCTTTGTGTTTGCAGCTCTACTCCGTGTACCTGGACGGTTTCCTCTTCTGCAAGGTGCGCTACAGCCAGCTGCACCGCTGGAACGAACAGGTGAGCGGGTCCGCGGCGGGTACCATCTCGTTCACCTGACGCACGTGAGGAAAACTGCATGCAGTGGGCTCTGGGCTCGTGGCTCTGGCAAAATCCGGGGCCCTTTAAGGGCTTTAAGAGCTGGTGCCTACCAGCTCTTCGAGAGGCGTCGTGGTGAGGATCGGCTGTGAATTATTTGGCACACAACTCGGTGAATACACGTTGCCGCTCCCAATCGTCTGCAGCTCGGAGACCAGGGCGCAAGTGATGCAGCTAGGGACCAGGGCGCAGGTGATGCTTCCAAACCTTTTCCAGCCCAATGACCGACCCCTTTCAGTTTCACGGCCAGCTTTTCCCCAGGACGACGTCCCCAGTCACAACGAGCAAACCAAGTCTAGACCAAGGCGTAGCCAGGAATCGCGTACATGGGCACTTAATACTCTTCCTCCCAGTTACCCCTTCCTCTTACGTTTACCCCGCTCTAAAAAGGTGTGTCTGTATTTTTGTTTTCAAACGACTGAGTTCATAGGCTTTAAGTAGTGGCGGGCTTGGGTACCCTGGAGACAGATGACTATAGCAAGACAGGATGGCGTTTCCCACTACAGTTTCTCACCCTGAGGTCTTGATGGCATTTTCTCTGGGACCCAGACTGAATTATTAGCCTGTTTTAACGTGTTTTGTCCTAATAAGGAAATGTTGAAAGTCTTCAAAATAGGTTAGAGGAGTGAAGTTGAGAAATAAACTTCACCAGGTCCTCAACCCCACCCCATGCACAGTTTTTTTTTCTTTTTGTTTATTTATTTTTTTAGATTTTATATTCTGATTATAAAGAGGAAAGACAAGGAAAGAAAAAAAGAGAGACTCTTGCCCAAGCAACAGCTATCACCATTTTGGGCGGGAGTCCTTTCAGACACTCTAGGTCTCCAGTGAGTAGATCCATGCGTTTCCCCAAACCGTCTTCTTTCGGTGGACAGCTCAGTTCTGTTTTTCTGTGGGAAACCTCACGGCAGCCAGTCTTCTTGCTCATACATCGTATGTGTTAGGGAAGCCCACTTTCAAGGTATGATTAAGTATCTTTGAAATCAACAAAAACCAGTCATAACCTCCATTTGTGGGGTCATCTTCGGGTTGTTAGCAGCCTGCCGGGTGGGCTGAGTGGGGCCTCAGCAATGATTGTCGGGTCACTGGGTGAGGAAGGGTGAGGCTCAGACTTGGGAAAGGCGGGAAGCTACTTGTGACCAACACTTGTTTGGAGGGCTGGGAAGACTGCAGACGGAGATCTCGAAGGAAAAGAAAGGATAGGTAGGCGTTTTAAGTGTTTGAAGGAGGAGGTTGAGGTATCATCTCCTGCCCTCCCCTTGTCTGTCTTCCTGCAAGTGAGGTGGGACTGGGGAGAAAGCCCTTACAAGGTGGGTGGTAAGTAGGAGACAGTGGGGAGAACAGGGAGATTGTCGAATTGGGTGACCACTCCCTGGCTCACCTCTTTTCTGACCTTCAGTTTTCTCATTAGAAATAATAAGTAGCCCTGGCTGGTTACTTACTGTTGGCCGTGTTGATTGGAGTGTCATCCCGTTCACCAAATGTTGTGGGTTCAATTCCCAGTCAGAACACATGCCTAGGTTGTGGGTTCGATCCCTGGTCGGGGTGCATATGGAAGGCAACCAATCAATTGCTCTTTCTCTCTCACTCCCAATACCCACCCCCCACTTTTCTAAAATCAGTAAACATATCCTTGGATGAGGATTTTTAAAAGAAAGAATGAAAGAAAGAATGAAAGAATAAGCAAATAGGTGGTTATGGGTGTCAGTGTCACTGGGTACTTGTGAAGTTCAGGGACCGGTATCTCGTACAGCCTGGCACGCAGTACATTCTAGGTAAACATGTACAAACTCAGGGTTGAAGAATTCCTGGTCCTCCTTAACCGTAGGCTCAGGAAAGTGCTTGTTTTCAGAAACACTCAGACTGATCAGATCCTAGCAGGTCCAGAAGTGGAGACATAAAGTGAGCTAACTTGTGTTCTTGGTCTTTTGTTTTGCAAGCCATGAACAAGAAGCCATTTGTAATTCGCTGCAGTGGAGTCTCAAACGTTGAGCCCCACGCCCCAGTGCCCTCTGTGGGGCTGGCATAGGCTTTTAATGAATACTTCATGACTGTCCCCGATTTCTGAAAGTCCTCAAGTGGAGATTATTCAATTTCAAACTACCTCACACATTGCCCTAGTGTTTCCTCTTTCTGTAGGAACAACTCCATTTTAAATAAATTATTTAGATCTTAGGTGGCCATTGGTATTTATTATTAAGTTATAACAATAACAATTAGGCAGTACTCTGTGCTAAGTTTGGTGCCAAGAACATGTACTAGAGTGTTTAATTTTTACAGCAGTCCCATGAGCTGGGATTATAGTTAGTCCCATTTACCAGATGAGAAAACTGAGGCACAACTTGCCCCAAGTCATACTGCTGGTAAGTGTTGGAAGCAGGATTTGGTTTCCAGAAACTGCTCAGACCCATTCCATTTTGTGTTTTTTTCCACCAAAGTTGACAAAATAAATTGTATCAATAAACCAATTGAGTCAAATCCTCGAGCTCTAAACTACAGTGCTTTTCTTTATTTTGGAATAACTTAATGACATCCCCCAATTTGGAATGTTTAGTGTGATGAATCTTGGTAAATGTGTACAATTACCACCACCGTAATCAGGCCAGAGAACAGTTCCTATATTCTAAAAGTTCTTTTGTCTCCTTCGCCCTTGACCCCCTCCTTCCACCGCTGGCCCCAGGCAACCGACATCTGCTTTCTGTCATTAGAGTTCCAGGCTCAGGATTTCATTCCAGCTTATTACTACAGTTTCAAAGATAGTCTGAGGACAGTGGGCAGATTTAGCAAATGAAAATACAGGATCCCCAGTGAATTTCAGATAAACAGCATATACCTTTTTAGTACAAGTGTGTCCCGAGCAATATCTGGGACATCATTGGACATCCGGCATTTTGTCTGGCAACCGTAACTCTCAGACCAAAAGTTTGGGCGACCTCTTCTAATCTAGATTTTATTCTTCCTATTCCACAGAAGACATGAACCAGCTCAGAATTTGTTTTTTTTCCCCCCAAAGATTTTATTTATTTATTTTTAGAGAGAGGGGAAGGGAGGGAGAAGAGAGGGAGAGAAACATCAATGTGTGGTTGCCTCTCACACGCCCCCACTGGGGACCTGGCCCGCAGCCCAGGCATGTGCCCTGACTGGGAATCTAGCCGGCGACCCTTTGGTTCACAGTCTGCACTCAATCCACTGAGCCACACCAGCTAGGACCGGCTCAGAATTCTTAATCTGATTTAATACAAGGCACTATAAAGAGGGAAACAATATAAAGGTCCCATTCGTGTTTGTGTGTGTGTGTGTGTATTTGGTGAGTGTAAGTATATTTCTAGTTGGTTTCCTGGGAAGTTCGGCATGTCTGTAGAATAGAAACTTTATCTTACAGAATTAGCTGACTTATTCCTGTACTTAAGAAATGCTTACTGACTTCCTGTTAGATGCCATGCACTGCGTTGAATTAAGTGAAGACTCTGACTTGAGCAGAGGAGATTTTTGACTGTAAGAACTGGGTTTCTATTTTGCAAGCTGGATAACTCTGAGATGAGGATAAGTACCTGGCTCAGGCAAGGTGGCCCCTGCGCCTCCTCAGCCAAGCTATGCGGAGGCTAATGCCATAGGATCGAAACTGAGGAGAGATGGTTGTGTTTCCGACAGGTCAGCTGTGACCTGAGCCCTTCTAAGACACCGCAGCCCTGTCCCCAAGTGAGGCTCCCTCAAGGTCTGGTAGTTTGCCCCTCTGCTGAGGAATGCTGCCTGTCTCGCTGCCCGGTGAACTGCCTGACCTGACCTCTTCATCTGTGTCTGCAGATGATTAAAGCCAGTGTGACGTATGGCCCCGCCCTTGCCTGCAGCACCCCCTGCAAATGAGATCAGTGAAGGAACTGGCTCCCTTTGGCCAAGTGTGAGGCTGTCTGCATAAGTGCTGCTGAACTCTATGGAAGGATGCTTGCCTCTGCAAACATTCTGGCATCAGACATGGTCATGGGGACAAGCTATGGATGCTGGCAAAGAATCCTGCTGTGGGAGAGGGGGGCTGTGAGACCTCATGCACTGGTTCACTCTTCCTCCCTGCCTGGTGCTGACCCAGCCTGGCTCCTTCCCCTCTTTTACCCAATCTCCCCTCTTCCCCATTCAAACCCTCTATTCACACCAGGCTGGCCCACTTGTTGTCTCTGCCTGGCTCACTTCCCCCTCCTGAGAAGACCCGTGCTTCTGGCCCACTGGTCAGGGACCAGCCCTTTCTCAAGGCCCACCTCAGGCCTCACCTCCTCTGGGAAGTCCCCCTTGATGGCATGATATGCCTTCCTCCGATTTCTGTGCCACTTCATGTTTAATCCTTATCATGTTCCTCTTCTCTTTTTTAATCCTCACCAGAGGACTTGCTTATTGATTTTAGAGAAAAGAAGAAGGGAGAGGGAAAGAGAGAGGGAGGGAAACATCAATGTGAGAGAGAAACTTCGATTGGTTGCCTCTCGTCCACACCCCAATCAGGGACCAAACTCGCAACCTAGTCATGTGCCCTGACTGGGAGTTGAACCCCAAGCTTTTCAGTTTAGTGGACAATGCTCCAAATGACTGAGTCTCAGCTGCCAGGGCTTGTGTTCCCCTTTTTGTGAGTGTATTTTGTCTTCCCTGATTATTTAGTTGCAAACCCCAAATATTTAAATAAAGCAACAGATGAAGGCTGCTGGCATGCACACCCAGCCCAGAATCCTACTGCAGTAGTTACTTGATAGAGATTTGGTGTGGGAGAAGGAAAAGGAGGGGGCAGAGAGCGAAAAAGCAGTGAAAAGACAGTGTTCAGGTTCTGCCTCTCGCTAGCTCGCAGGGCCTTGGTTTGAGTCACTTCATCTCCCTGCGTTTCAGGTTACTCCTCTTGTCAAGTAGTCTCGTCAGGGTGGAAGAATGTTGTCAGGTGCCCTGTC